GCTGCTCCTGGGCAGCGTGCCTGGGAAGACGCGCGAAAACGGCCTGCAGAAACGTTGTATTTATTAAAGATACTGCCGTTAGTTAAATCTGTTTGACCTTCTTCAGTTTCCTGAGTGACCTCTTTTGCTTGCCAGTTAGTGTTTTAATAATTCTATTAAATAATTCATAAACAACTCCTGGAACTTCCTTTTATTATTTACTGTTGTCACGTTAGGTTCATCAGCATATTTTTAATATTACATTTCTCTTTTGTGCGTGCAACCATGCAGTTTTGGTGAGGTTGGAAAGCTTACCTGTGGTGCAGGTAATTTTAAAGATAGCCCTGAAGATTTTCATATCAGAGTAAGTCAAAGTCCCTTTGATTTTCCTTGATGTCACAGGGAAAAAAAGAGGAGTTCAAAGAGTTTCACTGATTAGTCTCACCTTATTGATTTAAAACTTACCAAAACCAGATACTATTTTTTTTCTCCACCCATTAGATATTCTCTGTTTTGTTTGCTGAGTAATATGACCAGCGTGACCTGGTCTGAGGCAATACCAGTTAGTGTGCTGAAATGGATTAATTGAACCAACTAACCATTCCTGAAAGGAGATAATAGATAAAATAGGTCCCGATTCCACAAGATAATTAAGGTAGGCATGTTCTTTAAAAGCCTGATTTGTAGTCCCTTTGATTTCACTGGGGCTGTTTGTACACCAAAAGTTAGATGTACACTTGAATCATCAGAACATTTTTCCTGTTGTTTTCTTCACCTAAAACATTTAAGAAAGTTCAGAAACAGGTGTGATTTAAATTCTTGTAATGTATAACCTTTTTTTTTTTTTTTCCTGTTAAATTATTTCAAATGTCCAGATGCTTATTTGCTCTCACGGGTTTTGACTGAATATTGGAAAACTGCAGTTGTCTGAAGACCAAAATTTATGTCCTTTTATCTTTTATTTAGTGAACTATTTTGCTTTATGTTTGCCTTTTGGGAAGATAGATAGATTTCTAGCTGAACTTTAATGGCGTCTGTATCAGAAAGTTGCAGCAGTCGTGTTTCATTCTACTGCTGAACTGAGAGTCAACAGAGAATTTTTGTTTGTATTCACTATTGCTATCTTATATCCAACCTGCTGCATATCTAGTTGATTTTTTTCAAAATCTTAATATTAACCTCAAATCCCATTTCTAAACCTTTTGTCTGCTGCCTGTGTGTTGCAGAACATACGCTTGGTTTTTTAAGGCAGAAAACATGACCCCAACTCTTAAAAAAAAAAAAAAAAAAAAAAAAAAAAAGAGGTAAAAAACCCCCAAACCACACATTCTTTTTTTGGGAGTACCATATGTATTAGAGTGTGAAATAAGCTATTAGCAATGTTTTTTTCTTTGTTTGCTCTTCCTTTTAATGAATAGCAGAGAACTGTATTGAAAGTTTAAGAACTTCTTGGAGAAGAATTATTACCCTTAGGCATTGATATTTGTTTCTTTTGATAAAATGGAAATTGGGAAGACTGATTAAATTGTAGTGAAACTCCTGTTCTTTCAAGAACCAAGTAAATGTATTTGGCAATGGCATTTTTCCTTGTCCTTGAATTTGTTTTATGGTTGCAAAATAGAAATTCAGAATAGCGATAATAGTCACGCATCTCAAATCTTTTATGCAAATACAATCTATGTCTGCCTGTATAACACAACTATTTTGTATGTGCAGTAATATTTGTCTAGTTTAAATGTTGTTCCCAAATATTTTCTTTAAGTCTTCCAGTACCGCATAATAAGGTTATGAAGAACTGTAAAATCTAGCTTCACTTTCAATTTGTAATCTTTCTTGCGCTTTCTGTAATAACTACTACATTTGATATTGAAATTTACACAAGATAAGAGATAATACATGGTGATCTGTTACTTGGCTTAATTAATCCCCGTTAAAAATATTTTTTAAAGTGCTTTTCTTTGATCTTTTCTTCTTAATAATAAAGTAAGCCATAGTTTTCTGAACGTTTTTTTTCTACATGCTCATTTGATTAGTTGTGGGGGTTTTTTTTAGCAGGTGCTACTTGCTCAAGTTTACCAAAAAAACTGTAAATGGGATACATGGGCTTTTAAAAGGTTGCACATGACAAAGGATGACAATACCCGTGGATTTTTATTAAGTTTACTTTGGCAGTCTTGTTCCTAGGGCAGTGAACTTACGTGCTTGCTTGCTTATTTACTTATTTGTGGTTGAATCAGTATTTTTAGGATCTCTTTTGTGTATTTATTTGTTTAAAATCTTGAGTTCTGGCAATCAAATATAAAGCATTTTGTTTCCAGTGCTGCCGTTTTAAATGCTGCTGCTGAATTTTAACCACTGCATTAGATTGAAACCTACATGCTGTTAACCACTGAGCCAAAATGAAATCGACCACTGCATTGAAATCAGAGTTGGCAGTTGTATACGGACTTGAAGGAGTTGGTAATAGCAGTGCACCCGTGTTTCTTTAATGGGGTTTTTATTCTCTGTTTTCGGTTTTAATGGTGCCATTTTGATTTAAAGACTTGTTTCTTAATAACGATGCACATTTTTATTGAAACATTTTCAATGTAACTTAAGAAGAAAATAACAATAAAGCTATCCGTTAGGAGTGGTTTCCTCAGAAACAAAATGTTCTGTTGCATGATAATGCAGTGTGCTTGTTTTATTTATAAAGCAATCTTGCGTAAGAAGATAAGTAAGAAGATTTCTTCATGTTTCGTGAACGTTTATTCATGGTTAAAAATTGTGAAATGTATTTATGTTTTATAGAGGAGGTCTTGCTAAGGACAGGTTTTCAGCTTCTGAATTTACATTTTGTAACTTTCTTTTGAATCTGCTTCACCAAGCATATGAAAAATGAGCCTACTTGCATGGTTGACCTCTTAGTCTTTTGAAATTTTTGTTTCTTATTAATAGGACTGGATCCTTCCCAATTCAGAGTCCATCACCATTACCATAAAGACGAGGAGAATGATGCCTTGGTTGGTGGCCCAGCTCAGCTCACTGATGAGGAGAAATATAGGGACTGTGAAAGATTCAAGTTTTGCTGCCTCAAATGTGGAACAGAAAATATTTATGACAATGTCTTTGATGGTTTGGTTAGTTTTTTTTCTTGTTTCATTTCTGTTCATCAGCGAGAGATGAGAAAAATACTTGTAGGGAGGACAGCTTTTCAGATAGGATTCATATGATGTAGGAGAAGATACCATATTGTTTGAGTCCTTCTATTTTTAGGTTTGGAACAGAAATTTGCTGATAGGACAGTGCTGAAATATTTTTCCTGGTTTTGCTTTTCAGCTGTGTCGTCTAGCAGAACATGTGAGATTATCTGGCTTCATTAATCTGTTTGCCCGCAGTCGTGAATGATTGTTGCTGTAACTTTTTAAGGAATCCTTATCTTAACACCTTAGTAACTTCCAGTTTGCTATTTAATGAAACTTTGATATAGCAATGGCAATTTCTTATCCTAAATCATATTAATTGGAACAAAGTGGTTTTGAAACTTGTGTTTATCTTGCTACATCCCACTTTCCTTCTTGACAGTAAGGTTTCTCTGTGTTATCTTTCCTTCCGTCTTTGTGTATTGAACATAAAAAGTCATAGGGGTACATTCTTGTTGAGAAGTTCTGCCAAAAAATGTATCTCTGACCTTGGATCACAACTTGAATTAGGGCCAAGTATTTAACTCTACAGCAATGTTACGCATGTATTAGTCATTGGCAAATTAGCGAGCTTCAGAGAAGTGAAAACCTTGAAACTGAAAGCAAATAAATCTTTTATCTAAATTAAAAGTAATTATTTTAAGTTAATTTGGACAAACAGCAGATGTTTTGCATTTTTTTGAATCAAAATAAAACAGTCTTTGGAAGCAAGTAAGAGGAAAAGACACACAAATTGAATGATACTTTGTGAATCCTTGACTTTTGTTCATTACAGCTGTAAATAAGGTACTAAATTGCATGTAGGCTTGACAACTTGCAGATGGGCTAACTGGAGAGAAGTGGATGTCAAACTCTTTTAAAAAAAGAAAAAACCTCAACAAACAACTAAAGAAACCCCTAAACCAAGCAAGAAACCTCCCCTCTCTTCCACCTGGAATTATTTAGTGTTGTGGATGGGGATTTAGCCAAGATGGCTCACAAAAACAAATTCTTACCTGGAAAGACAATTTTCTAAAAGTCAAACCTACCAGGTTGTTCTTATTTTAATGAGAATTCTACCAACTTAATTTCAGCTGTTCACAGATCACTTCCAGGTTCTGAAATTTTAATGTCAGGTGTTCAGAGGGTTTTAAAAGTAAGGGGAATGAGATGGTATAAATCTATTAAGAAGAGCTATTCTTTGCACTTGGAGAAAATAAAAGATGACCATGTCATTCTTGTTTAACAAGGTTTGTCTCTACAGCCCTCTTGGTAATTTCATAATTGGTATCTATAACATTGACTTCAATGTTTTGATTAGTGTGCTTGGGCAGAACTATGGTGTCCCTGATAAAACAACAAACCTGTGTTGTTTGGGGTGAGACAGGAGAGTGTGATTTGTCCATAGATTAATTTTTTTTAAATCAAAATCGGTTTTGGAATTACTGACTTTGTAACAGGTGAAGAAGCCAAAAGTCCTTTCACTAATAAGAGAATGGGAAAACCCTAGATCAGAGAAGTTTTTTTGTGGGCACGGCCAACTGTGATGGGAAGAAAGACGGCCTAGGTATTAAAGGCCCTTTAAAGCTATTATTTTTAAAAAATATGTGTTATGTCTAAACTCCTGTGATAACTTCTGCTACCATCACCTGTTGTCATGATGCATGCTGTTTTTACACTTCTGTTTTTAAACTTCTGTTTTCAGGGGCGATTTATTGAACCCAGCTTGCAAAGGTGCAGTAAGACTGACTGTGAAGAGCCTCCTTTCAACTACGTGGTTCAAATGAACAACAAATTGCTGTTGGATATTAGACGCTACCTCAGAAAATATTATAATGTAAGTATTAAAAAAATGTTCTGTCACATGAAGTGTTTTCTAAGTGGTGCTGAGTTTTTAGTGGCTGTCACATTACTTTTTTGTATACTCTGAGGTAATGGCATGCAATGTCAAAACCCAACTTTATGAAAATAAAACAATGAATTAATTATTTCAAATACTAATTTAGAATGTTTGTTTTCTCAGTTCAGTCTCAAGTCAAGATAATGTATTTAAGTTTTTGTGTGTGTCAGCATTATTACAGATCTAGTAGTACTCTGTTTTCCAGATTTTTAGACAAAAAAGTGCAGAGAGTTGGTTACCTTAATGCTTTTGAGAAAATCTGTGAATCCTATCAAATATGCAGATAAAAGTTTCTCATGTAGTTGAAATCTGATTCTCTTTTCTCCAGTCCAAATTGATGTATACTGCACTACATTATGAAAGGAAAAATGAATGTAGCTCTGTAAAAGTTTTTTGAAGGACAATAGGAAGGGAAATACTATTAATCTTTCTTCATAATGATTGGAGGGGAAAAAAGAGTAGAGGGTGGCTAGTTAATTAATTTGATACAATTCTCTTTTTTTGGGAGACAGTGCAAGAAATCTAAAATACAAATGGTAGTGAGTAGCTTTGTTTGGCATTGTGGGGGAAAAAATGCATAATACTTGCAATTCCCGTGTTTGCACTGTCCAAAGCGGTGACTGGTTAGGAAAAAACCCACCATGATTTTGAATTATATTTACATGTTTTGTGTCTGTAATATGCTGGAAGCATCATATTTTGTGAATCGTCAGCTATCCATTTTGGTCAAATTTTCACAGGAAAGGGCAGGAAAAATTCTTACTACTGATAAGAACAAAAAGTGGTATAATATTTTACTCTGCTCTTTTTTTCTACTCTGTTCTTTTTTTTTTTTTTTTTTTTTTTTTTTTTTTTTTTTTTTTTTTAAGACCAAGCTGTGAACCAAACTCTGAAATGTTTGAATATTGAACATTGCAATTTGCTTACATGGTATTATAATCTATTAAGTATCTTACTATGTGGTATATAGTATAATGAAGTATCCTTCAAAAGGAATTTGTTTTTCCTTTTTAGTTAAAAGCTTTATAAACTTGGTTATATTTTTAGTACTGAGAATTTTAACCTAGTTAACTATAATAGTAACATTTAAAACTCCTTTTTGACTGTGGAATACGTTCAGACTCTGGAAATGCGATGTTATTTCATTGTAAAAAGTAATTTCAAAATTAAGCAATAGTTTTCATTTTTAAAAAGGGCTTTCCAGGGAGTTGGACAAGTAAACTTTTTGTCCTGTTAGCTCTTCGAAAAGCAGATGCTGTGAGTTTTAGTTTATTCCTTTCATGAAGTACTTGTAGGAACTGTATAACAGCTGGAGTTGGAATCCATCAAATGGCTGTTTGCACTAATATATATAATCCTATAAGATATAAAGGCACACCCAGAAGTAGTAGGGCAAAGAACTGACTGAACAAAACATTTGATGAAACTTTGAGACACTTATTTAAGTCCTCTGTTGTAGTGCTTGCATCTGAACGGCGCAGAAATTTGAGTTTAAAATAGACAAATATATTGTCTAACTTTGTCTCTCCATTAATTTTTTTGTTATTGTTTTAAGTATTACTGTTGTTTATGTGTTGGTCAAATGGCACATAATACAAAAACATAAAATGTGAAAATGAATTTTTTAACTTCCAAAATAATTGGATACCTTTTATGAAGCCAATCCTATCAGAAGTCTTTTTGGCCTGATCCACAGCTCACTGAAAGGAATAAGCTTGCATTTTTTTCCACTGAGCTTTGAATCAGATTTTTTGTTTTTTCCCCAAGTGTTTAGGATCATTGCATATTGTTTTCTTTAGTCTATTGAAATGTTTTTATACGTAGCTGTGTAAATTCAGGGGCGGCAGGGAGTGCCATAAAATCTAAAAGTCAAAAAATCTACTTGCCCTTTTTGGCACATGAAACTGATAAATAAACAACTATAATGTGGTATACTTCTTTCCTTTAAAAAGATGCAAGTGTAAGTGTGTAAACAGAGTTTTGTGAGCCTCCTGTAGTCCCATTGTTTTTGTAAATTACGTGCCTTTATATAAAATTTTCTGTTTCCACAGTCATTTTTTGCCATTAAACATTGAAATGATTTGTATGTGTCTTCAAAAACACACCTACTATTGCTCCAGTATTTATGGATTTCTTAATGGTACTAACAATATCAATTTTTTATAATCTTACTTCTAAATGTAAATATATCTAAAAATGACATGCAAATATTTTATTTCTTTTCAGAAATGCATTATACTATGAGAGATTGATCCTGTTGTGTGCTTTTTCTTTTTTTTTTTTTTTTTAATTCTGCTTCAGAAGAGCAAATAGATGAAAAGAGAGAGAAACGCTAGCTAATCTAAATTGGGAAATGAAGAGGGCTTTTTTAAGCATGAAAATTTCATCATCTTGTCAGCTGGCAGAATGCCTGCTGTGTGGATTCACAAAGGCTAAGAATTACACTTTCATGAAATTTTCCTCACTAACTGCCCTGGTTAATTTGAAAGATAACCCACTGTTCTAATTCATTCCTCAATTGGGCGGTGCAGGTTTTATCTTTGATCTGACAAAGCATTTGTGTTAATCGTTTTGGCCCTCTACTAGACACTCTTGGGATTGTGCTTTTACAATAAATGTGTCTGTGATAGCTCTTTAGTCTATTATACTTACAATAGATCCATAGAACTGGTAATTAATTCTGTACTGCTTTGGAAATGGGGAAGAATAGGTGTAGCTCTGTCAAGTGCTGCTGGGAAGTTTGTTTAGCTAGTTCATTTTTGAAGTGTTACCCTCAGCCATCAGTGAAACATCCATGCTAGGGAATGGGTGAAAACTGAAATATGCAAGCATAAATGGAAAAACGGACCAACTTTTGTGCATAAGGATGGTGGCATTTCACTTATTGTAAGTGGATCTAATGATTATGATGGAAACTGTTTTGTGTTTCCCACTTGAAGTATTCAAATGCTCATTTTTAAGCATTTGGTAAATAAAAGCCACCTCTCAGATCCCCTTTTAAAAAGACCTGTGAAGATCAGTATCACATTAATAAAATGAATCCCATATCTTACTCAGCTGTTGAGGTGCTGGTTTTGCCAGCTAAAAGGAACTGAATAAAAAACCTCAACATACTGCATATGCCATTTGAGCAGTGGCAAATTTATAATGAACTAGGTGGACTGGAAAGCTGTTGTCCCTGAAGCAGCAGTTTTTTTAATCTTCTTTTTAAATATACACCTGTGCTGGTATTAGTAGTATATTTATAGGCTAAAACCTGTTTTTATGTAGATGCTCTTTGTATGCTGTCTAGTTAATAATGTATGGCATCTATAGATCTTTTTTTGTTTTTCAAAATGCATGAAATGATACAAACTTTAAAATGGTCTTAAAAATATTAAAAAAAAACCAAACTTGGTCCGACCTGTATTGCACTGTTTTTTGTTTTACAGTCTTTTTCCACTGGACCACTGTAACCCACAGGCAGAAGCGAGTTTGAAGGCTATTGAACACTGCTAAATAACTTTATACTGTTCAGCTGCGAAAATTCAGTGTTCAATAGCCCTCAAAATTTCTCATTTCTTACCTGTGGTGGGGTGGTCTACTGCTTGCACATGAGGTTGCAGTATAAAAGCACGTTGGTACACTTTTCAAGATCTTTGAATTATTATTTCACCTATATATATATATATGTATATTGCTGCTCTGACTGTTGTCTCCATGTTCTTGTGTTTTGCATTAGTATTTTGCACACTTAAAAGGTAGAAGATTTATGAACAAGGTAGTATTATGAAAGGCACTAGCGTTCACGCAGGTTTTGGGATTGCATGGCATATTCACTTAAGAGAACAAAGATAACAGGGCTTGTTGTGAACCTGGAATCTGCCACACTGCAATCAAGTGTATTGCCAACAACCCACAGGTGTACACCACATGAACAGGTGAAAATATGATTGTAGATGATGGTGATGACTTTTGTAATCATGTTCTCACAACAGTCGTGTATTGAAAGCTTTTTTTGTTTGGTGGGTAGGTAAGGGTAAGAAGTTTCTTTGGCATGAGGGAAAGATGTAGTGGCAATAGTGCAGTATTTTACTTATTGTCGTGCTAATAGTACTAGAGGTGTATGGGCATGTGATGAACAGTAGTTAGGGGCAGAATATAGGAGGAATTACGACACCAGATGATGTGGTAGGCACAATCAGATAGCTGCTGTCAGATTAACTCCAGTGCTTATTTTGAGTTCTTCCTGTTTGCATGGAAATGGGTTTCTGAGTCTTTTCCAAGTTTGAACTTGTACCACCGTCATTTTGGTTTATACATGCAGAAACCAAGATGTTTATTTTTAGTACTGAAAGCTTCCAAGTCAAGGCAGAATGGAAAGCAATTGGAATGAAAAGGTAAAAGATTATTGTGATTCCATTCACAATTTACTGGGGACCTGAGAGAAGGAAGGGAGACTGCCACCAGTTTATCAAGAGTTTTCTCCTCCCTTCCGCAGTAGCAGTTTCTGATTCCTTCCTTGATTGAGGTTGACAAACAGGTTGTATTTGGAATCCTGTTTTGGTTAACCAGGAGGAAATTAGAAATATCTTGATTAATGAAGAGAGCAGTCAGTATTCTACCATATGAAAGCATTATATATCTGTCTTTGCGTATATAATTTATGTTTATTGCATAGTAAAAGATAACCCTTTGGCCACTCTGTGTAGTGTATTTTGGGGATGAGTAAGCAGTTATTTGTCACAGCACTCATAGCATCTATTAACTGGAATTGATTCACTATTACTGCAACTTCTCCATGATCTGCCCTGCAAAGGGTTTGTTTTAGACTTACAGCATCAATATGATTTTTACTAAAGTGTTTCAAAGTAATGATCGATATGTCTTTACAAAAGCTTTAACTCTTTTCATTGGATTTTGCTAGCCATGCTGGACATGCATCCATCTATCTCACT